GTACCTATGCAATCACGAAGGCTATAAATACTCGATCCGCAGTTCTAATCTGGCTGAATCACGAGGAGGATCGGACGCGTCTACGTATTCCTTGAAAGGAAATAAAATGCGCGGGACGATAGCACCTATCCTATCAAATCTACACCGAATGTGCGCGGCATGTTACATTGCGGCCGCGGCTGGTTGGCGCCACACCGGCCGTCGTATATCGAGAAATAACGCGTAATAAACGTGATATTATACACGGCGATACGACGGGCGCATTTACGGCATGCCACGACGATGAATTATACGTGTAATCGCACAATGAGAGCCTGCCGGGCTACGAAAAATCGATGAAATTCGAGGTGATTGCGATTGCACCGCCGCGCCGGAATGGAAAACGGTAATTATTTAGCCCGCATCGGGGCGAACTTCTCGATCGATCGGACAACCTTCGAGAGTATTAATGCACGAGGCACTCAATACCTTGTTGCAAGGAATACGCGAATGTCGATATGTCAGTGTGTCACGTTGGGTATCTGAGAATTTATCTCAACGCATTGCGAGAATTTATTTTAAATTTAACGTACGTCGATTTCTATCAATGTACGATAGATTTTATTTTTTTATTTTTGTATTTTACCGGTTATACTTTATCACAAAATAACGTTATCTCTTTATGAATGCTATACAAAAAAATATCATTCCATTGCTAAAAAAAAAGTCACTCAATTTATTTTCAATAAGAATTTTATTGGATCGTAAAATTTGAAACTCATTAAATAAAAAAATAGGGAATCTTGGTCATAACAGTCTAAGCTGGGATCTTTTTAATGTTTAACTAATTTAAAGTGAATTAATATACAGAGTGTTTCGAAAATAGTTAGCCAAACTCTAAGAGCATATTTCATTCATTGTAAGGATGAAAAAAATATCATATATTGTAAATATGGGTTCGCTTCCTTTTCAAGTTATAAACATTTTTTTATTTTATACTTATATTTTATTTTATACAATACTTATATCCATATTTTATTTTCTACTTGGAAGGGAAGCGTTTCCGAACTCATATTTACAATATATGACTTTTTTCATCCTTACAATTAATGAAATGTGCTCTTAGAGTTTGGCCAACTATTTATTATATATATGTATATATGCATACATATTGTAGCCATGTAAACTACGTGCTGAAATTTTTTTCGGACTTGAAACACAGTTAAACTACAGAAATAATATCACAATTAAATTTTTGATGCCCAATAGACATCTATTAAAGAGATTTTAATATAAAAATCTGCAAATATATTTATTTATTGCGAAAAATATTACCTCGGCTGGGAGTCGAATCTCTTGGCCCAGATCTCTCTTGCAAGCGTCCCAAGCCTTTAGACTAGCAAGGCCTTAGTAATATTCTTCACAATAATCAGTGTATGTATGGAAACAGATGTCTTTCTGGTGATATGATATAAACAATACAAATCTTATTATTGTTTATTTAATATTTTTTGTTTAGTTTTGTTTTGTTTAATATTATTATTATACCGTAAAATTTGAAACTCATCAAATAAGAAATAGGATATCCTGGTATACCATAACGGTTTAAGTTGAAATCTTTTTAATGCTTAACTAATTTAAAGTGAATTAATATATACTATATATGTACATTTAAATTAGTTAAGCATTAAAAAGATTCCAGTTTAGACCAGGATTTCCTAGTTCTTACTTGATGAGTTTCAATTTATTTTCTTCCTTTAAAATAACGGTTATCTTTAACAAAGAATATATTTTTACAATAAGCCTACAATATACTTATTATAAATTTTAGAAAAACTCATTATTATATGTAAAACAACTTTCTAAAATTTTTAAAGTAAAATTTGATTCTAAAGAATAACAATTGAGTTAATGTTGAAAAAGAGTGACTCAACTATCAACTTTTTAGAATGAGATTTCACTCTAAAGATTTTAGAGAGAAGAATTAATTTTCTTTTTAAGAATATTATGAAATTGATCGAAGAACTTTATATAATAAGCAAATCAAATTTGTCGTAATTTAATAATCTTAATTGAGAGAGAGAGAGAGAGAGAGAGAGAGAGAGAGAAATATTAAACTCACTATTAGGTGTTGGAATTAATTCGTAGCGTTTTACAAGTGATGGGAAATACTTTCATTAATGTATTTTTTAATGCTCATGTGAAATAAATAACATTCTTTCATTTAAAAACGCTACGAATTAATTCCAACACCTAATAGAATTCAGAATATATCTTGAATAAACTCGGTGTTTGTAATGAACTTGTAATAGATTTGCAGATATACGATCTTTTGAAATGTTTGAAATAAGTAATTATTATTATACTTGTGTAAACTTTAAGAAACATATCTGTTCTTCACGGCTGTGCCCGTTTCTACCTACATAGATTAATTTTAATTTTAGTTTAATATTTTACTTGGTTTAAGTTACTCTTTATCTTCTTTCTAATTCTTAGAATGAATGAGAAAAATAAAAGAATAAATTAAACCAAGATTAAAGTTAATCTACATTAATAGAAACGACTATTAGCCGTTGAAAAACAGGTATATTTTTTACTGAAGCTTAATAGCAACGTATTTTTCAAAAAAATATAATGTCAATTTGTAATGAAGTCTAGAATTTTTCTAGAAAACTAGAAAAATAAATATAAAAAGTAAAAATGTTATTAAGTATGTAATATAATTTAAGTCATAAAAAGTAATGTCGCCTGTAACAAAATCTAATTGTTAAAAATAAATGGTAAAAGAAAGTTTACGTATGTATAATTAAAAATACTTCTAAGATTAAAATTGTCCCTGAGAAATATCACGTATTTGCACGTATATAACTTGTCCCTTGGCAGCCGAACAATTTTCTTATATTGCGAGACACGAAATGTTCAACGGCAACACGTTATTTCGGATGCTGGGTAGGTTAGAACCGTTGCCAGGAAAATAGTCACCCTACGACTCACGTAGAAGAATCGATCGTTAACTCATTGTGAGTAGAGAGGTACATATGTACTTAGGAGTAGGACTAGCTTGTAGAGGCGGTCTCGAACGTGCGCTCTCATATTTTCCTACGACCCGTTTATTGAAATTGCTTTCCCAGAAGCGGGCTAAACTTAGGCGCCAATCGACAGCGTCATCAACGGCACAATTCAATTTCAGCTTATCACAGGCTAGCGAAGTAATTGCGTAGAGTATAGAGATCATAATTCTCGCAAACGTTTCGAAAGGTGAAGCTGGTTATTACATGCATGATTTTAATCCGTCAGGGGAAAGATTTAACGTGTATAGTTACGTGTGATAGTTGCTGCGATAATTTGTTAATATTAGATGTTGTTCATCACGAAAAATTTACAGTACCTCCCTTCAAAAATTTACAATACCTCCCTTCATGTTTTCTTATCATTTTATACACTAACTGTTGAGTTTTTAATCGTTTACTAGTATATCAATGGTGGAAAACGATCCTCACACAGTATTCATCAACGCTCGAGAGCCATAAACGCACGCTCGAGACGTTGTATTAATCGTCATTCGCACGATGGTTATACATATTGTAATTGTAGATGACGTCATTATTTATGAATCGCGCGTAGAGACGCGGCGCAGATCACAAAGCTGTTCTCAAATTAATCAACAAAGATTTTATTTTAAAAAAGTATCGCCCCATCTTTGCTGAAATATTTTCCTTTGCACAATGTTTTATTCTAAGACTATCGAGTCTCGATAAATTGAAATTAAATAAACAAAAATGAAATAGAAATTCGGTTATATGTGAATAACATAAATAAACAAAGGTGCGAAGGCTTTATTTGATTAAAGCAAATCTTATTATTAATATTATTAGACACCAAGATTTGCTTTAATAATTTCTTTTATTTCTCCGTTTATTTGAAATCAAATAGCCGTATTAAAAATTTTCATAATTATTTGTAAAAATTTTATCGGAATTAACATTTTTTAAATACAATCAATATCATATTTTCCGATGTTATCATTAAAAATCTTTAATATTTTTATAACTTAAAATATTTCTTTGAATTTCATTGATGTAATACATCGAGAAATCACTCGCTTATTTGTCTTATGTGTTCTCCTATGTTTACTGTACGAATTCTCTACGGGGTACTATTTATTGTACGGTTCTGGTTCAACCCTTTATGGATCGACAATCATAAGATCGACTTGTTTGACCACACACACACATTCAAGAGTTCTATTTATTCAACTTGGTTGGGTGCCGTCTTTTACTTCCTCCAATCACATTTCATCTATCTTGTTCTGTTATGTTTCCTAAAATTTGTTAAATGTTAACAAAAACTGATAAATTTGTTTTCCAATTTAAAATAAACATATTTCTATAAACGACACAATTCCAATATCAAAAACATTTTAATAATTGTAGAATAATTGGATGTTTTATTAAAAAGACGTCAATCCTATTTAGCGATATTAATATATTTTCAAATATATTGTATTAATTATAATTTTATAGTATTACAATAATAATTGAAAATATTATTCTTTGCATGTAAATAACTAAATTAAGTCAAAGAAACGAAATTGAAACGTATATTTTGAAGAGACAAGAACTGAGTCTTATCGCATTTTTTTAAATATTTGTGCATGTATTTTAAAATCTAAAATATTAAAATAAACTTTTCTATATACATTTTTTAAATAACGATAAATCCGATATGTAGGGTGGAACTGGAAATTCGTGCAATAATACAAAATACTCTTGTTTTATATTCCACAAAATATCTTAATTTTTACAAACGCTTGTTTGTAGAGAGATAAATTTCGAGTTCATACTCCTCAATTCAGTCTATAATCACACAGGTTATGAATTTCCCGTTCCATTGCGCAGATTGAACCTCAAATCGCATAATCCTTTGTAATTCGCGATGCATTCGTCCGGAAGTTTCGCAGAAATGATCGCACATGAAGCGTATGCAATCACGGAAATCCGACAATGCAGTGTACAGATTACCTTTCTCCGGTGACCCCCCTTTCTTCAATCCTTCGCCCAATGAACTCTTCCGTGCAGTCTCTTCCGCCTTTTCCCGCGGTCTCTTCTTTGCGTTCGAGATCTCACAGATCAACGAGCATAATAATCGCCGAATCGAAGCTATGGGTACCAATCGATAAAACCGCCGAGAAAACTGCACTCGCGCTTTTCCGCGGGTTCGATCTCGATCTCGAGGTGCCGGCCACTTTCTCGCGCGCAAGAAGAATCCTCGTCGCGAGATAACATCGATCGCGAGAGGAAAAAAGAGAGAGAGAGAAAGCGTGGAACGGGTCCGGAGGGATCTTCTCTCCTTTTCCCTCTCACCACGTGTGTGCGCCTACGTCTCACGAGCCTGCACCATGTACGTACCTCGCGAGCGTGCGACCGATCGCGCGCGAGCTTCGAAAAGCAATGCAAGCGCGAGCGACACGCCGGGCTCTCGTTCCTTCCTACGTTCTTACTTACGTCGGACTCCTGGCTCTCTCTCTCTCTCTCTCTCTCTTTCTCTCTCTCTCTCTCTGCCCGTCCCTCTCTCCCTGGGCTTTCCCTGTCCGTTTACCTCGTGGTCTCTCTTTTGCTCGTTCCCTCTCCATCGGATGTGTATACTCGTTCACCATCGTTCGCTCTCTTTCTCGTCGCTTCTCTCTTTTGATCTTCGATGCCGACGTTCTCCATCTTTGTCGTTCTTCCTCTCTCTGTTACTCTAGCGATGAGACACGACTATCCTCGTCTGATAGTTTCTGATCTCCTCGTTCGCGTTCGCCTCTTGCTCCTACCGATTACAAATCTCTCGACCTTTTCACTTCTCTTCTTTCTTAAATGTTCTCCATCTCTCATGATTCGTCCTTGTCTTCCAATCAATGATCCGATTGCTCCAGTTTAATTTAATCTGTTCATCTCACGTAGCGGTTTACGAAGAATGTGGTTTTCTGTCGGAAATTGTGTTCGTTAAGTTCTAGATAATATTTTTAGATTTTAATCTGACTTTTTTTCTGAATAAAAAGAAAATATATCTAAACCATGAAAAACTTTAAAGGATTTTCTTAAAAGACTAAACCGATTTACTAGGTAATATTTCTATTTCTCGGTAAATCGTTTGAATGCACGATTTAATTCATTAGTACTCCGTTCGCTCTTTGTAACACACATATACATATACGTTCTGTCTTACTTCCCTTTTGCCTCTCTTTCGTATGGTCGTATTCATAATCGAGACATGCCCGACAGTATGATTCATGAAGGTCACTTTACTTCTGAGGATGACCTCAAATCATTTCCAATTTCATAGTTCTACGTATTTGCTTGATCAAGCTTTTGACATTTAGCATCTATTTGTCTTCTTCTTAGGCTATATTCTCAAGAGAGATGCCATTATGAAAGTGCGCATACCTGCCGTACTTAGAGAGGAGCTAAGAAAAAGACGATTTAACACGATACCTGAAGGCCACCTTGAAAACTCACTATATGCGATTATCTCAGCCTGTCTTAAGGCTTACATCTAAGCTTACTCTAAGTCCTGACTATGAATACCGTTTATACTATCGACGTCCACTGCTCTATCTCTCTCATTCCCCGCATAGTAAGAGCTTTTACCTACCGCACTCTACATCCGTTGCCTAGAGTCACGTCCGCCAGCTTCAAGATCACTTCGAGATCTCCTCGTTGCAACAGTCGCCACCTTCGATCTTTGTATTTGCTTCTTATCTTTCAGATTCCTTTTTTCATCTTCTATTATTTTTCGAGATCAAAACATGCATCTTGCCATTAAACACATTCCTCAATTAATTCCTATATCGTTAATCGCAATTAAATTTTTTTTTCTTGATACACGCATTCTTTTATCGATACTCCAGCAACTTTCGCTTGATAATATCGACATAACAGTATTAAAATAAATAGCGAAAATTATAAACCGTTAATTTTATTTTTTTTTAAATTGTTAATCTTATTGTATCAAACATCTTTCTATTTATTTCCCACAATCGCACTTTCAACTATTCGCCATTCCTTTTCCAACGTATGCAGCGATATGCGGTTTCAACCGGTGCTCAGAAAGCATTTCTTTAACACCCACATACCGATACGAACACATGTGCTCTCACACAAGCAGATTGAGCACTCTCGTATCACGCCATGCAATATTACATATATCGCCGGAGATTGGGTCCGGATACGGCCGTTCAACTAGCATGGGAGCAGGATACTAAACAGTCACTTCCTCTTTTATGTCCATACTGCTTGTAAACAGATCGTTAACGGCGAGATATCGCATTATTTTAGCAGAGATTCCGTCCTTGCAATTGCAAAAAATTATTACTGATCATGCGACAACGATAACATTGTATAATGTCTTGTCCTATCTTGTAAGTCTTATAAGATAGGCCAAAATGAATAAACCGATTCGAAATTCATGTTTACGGTTTAACTTTCATTATATATTCGTAAGTTGTGATATCAGATGCACAATGCACTCATATGGTAATCTAAATATCCAATTTGTAATCCCATTTTTAAAAAATATTTAAATGTAATTTATATTTTAGTTAATAATGCTTAATATGTATTTCAAGTTTAGTATAATTTTATATTTTATATTTTTTTATATATAGTATTACATATATATTACAGATTTTGTTAGTTATAATTATATGTACAGATTATTTATTACAATATTATTAATTATTAATGTAATGTATGTCTAACACAATTATAATTTCCTTTTCTTTCATGTTTATTGAAATTCATTAAAATTTAGTTATCTTTATACTTGATGTTGATTCTATTTTATATATGTGATAGTAATACAACTGAAAATGGAGGAAATGATAATTAATTAGATATGTAAAGTAATGGGAAATACTTAAAATAGATTAATACGGAGAATTTAATAAACATCATACGAATTCAACAAGCAACCCATGTACTTAAATTCTCGCGTTTATGTCCTTCTTCTATCACATCAAGAAATTCCATGGTTATCTATGCTAACGGGATACTTTAAGAAACATCTCTTTCGCTTTGTATCTTCTTTATATAATACGATTAATGTAAAATAAAGTAAAATTTACGATTACTGTATATATTACAACGAAAAAAGAATTAAATTAAAATTTCATCCTTGCGTAAGTATGTTAAACTTACGTCAAGTAATATCATAAAATGTAATGATAATGTAATTTTAAATATTTTATGGGAAATAATGTTTTATGGTCAATACGAAAGTAAATTACTCCATCATTCTAAATGGAGGAATATTGCATTATCGGCAAATGCTGCAAAAATATTACATTAAAACTGCAGAATTTTGTTCATAAAATTTTATCTCACAATATTTGTCGTACAAATATTTATTTTATTTATGTCTATTAAATAACATTAAATAAAATCTTGTTAAACATTAAAAATTATATTGCAATGCACTAAAACAATATGTACAAAATATAAACGTATTTAAAAATATGCTTTTCAAGATTCTAAAGATTTTATATCCATCTACATAATTTCTCACACATTAAAACATTGCAATCCTCATTACAAATGCAAAATGTATAATAGACAATGTTTTCAGACAACAATTGAAATCAAGTTTTAATGCATACAGCAAATTGCAGAAACGTACATTATGTTGGTCAGAAATTATTAATCGGACTATGGCAATTACGAAGGAGATGGTTATTGACAGGATACTGATGCACTAATTATTCCCTAACGGCTCATGGAGCAATTATCTATTCTGATTGCAGGTGAGCGCATCTCGATATCCCGTCGTAGTGAAATTGGGCCACGCCCACGGCGGAACCGGCAAGGCCCGTGCGGAAACAAATCAGGAATTTCTAGATCTTGCTTCGTTGGCAGCTATGGCGAACGCTTATTGCACGGCGGAACCCTACATCGACACCAAGTACGACGTGCACGTACAGAAAATTGGGAACAATTACAAAGCTTTCATGTAAGTCGCCAAAGTACTGTAAAAAATACATAACATTTTTAATTTCAATAATTAAACATTCGGAAGAATTTAAATAATCATAAAAAATATTTTAAAACTCTTGAAAGAGTTTATAGAGAGATTGAACATATTTTATCAAATTTTTTCGGAATTAAATTTTTTTCTATCAAATTTAATTAATTATAATAGTTAAAAAGAATGTAGTTAGTTATTTTTAATGATTATTCTTTATAATATATGTTTTATAGATGGAAAAATTTATACGTTTTAAAAGTATAACATTTTGAATTTCAAAAATTAAGCATTTAAAAGAATGTTAATAATCATAAAAAATATTTCAAACTCATTAAAAAGTTTTTTTAAATAGTACATACATACACATATTTCTTCCGAATTTTTAGAATTAAACTTTTTAATCAATTTTAACTATTAATAATATACAATTACAAATATATATAATTTAACTACATTGTTTAACATTAAGTAATTATAGCGATAATTGTTCTTTATAATGTACATATGTCTTTTTATAGGCGGAAAAGCATAAGCGGCAACTGGAAATCGAACACCGGATCGGCTATGCTAGAACAACTTTCCGTAAGTGAACGACATCGCACATGGGTCGATCACGTGGCACAATTATTCGGAGGATTAGATATCTGCGCGATTGAACTGCTGGTGGGCAAAGATGGTCGGGAACACATTATCGAGGTCAACGACAGCGCATTATCCTTAATGGGTGACTCTCAGGAGGAGGATCGACGTCACATCGCTGAATTGGTCACCGCAAAGATGCAGGTGCGTGGAAATTGTGAACAATTAAGTAATCGGGATCGATCTATCAATTAAAAATATACAATCTACAGGTTTACTGTCGACCTCCGAGCGTGTTGACGAAAACGGCCTCGCGGGGTTCGATGTCAGGTTCTAGCCAGGTGGGTAGTCCGGTAGAAGATCGAACTGCACCTCCGACCGCACCCTTGGGATCCCACGGAAGTATGGGCTCTATGGCTAGTATAGGAAGTTTAGGTTCCGTGGGTTCTACTGCACCGATGACTGGCGACGTCACTGCCTCGGACAGTCATCATCAGTTGCAGCGGCGTGATTCTCAAGGTATACTTAGATTTTTTGCTAGAACTTTAGATATTAACAAGAGTAGCGCATTCCTTTTATCTGAACGTATACAGAGAATTGAGTTGTCTTATTGACTGCCTTCGACCGTAACTTTTTACTTAATTTTTCTTAATTAAATGCGCTATCATTCAATGAAAGCTCAATGATTCTTTAATATGATTGGTTTCTGGTAGTCCGGTATTTGTAGTTTATTCTTATTTTAAGATTGCTTAAGTAATATTTTAAAACGCTAACGCCTTTGTCATTGATTTATATCTTATAAGAGTTTTAAATATAAGAACTTATATGAATATCGCGCGGACTTAGATAAAAACAAATCTAGAATGAAGAATCTATACATTAGATCAAAGATGAGGATTGTTTGCGCTACTTTTATGAATATCTAAAGAGCTTTACTTTTTACAGCTTCTCGGAAATAAAATGAGTGTATAATGCTCAGATGCAGAATAAAATTCTAATCTTCAAAATTTAGAATTTCAAAAATATCTAAATTCTCTCTCTCTCTCTCTCTCTCTCTCTCTCTCTCTCTATCTCTCTAAAAAAATATCAATAGGTAATGAACTTAGAATTATTATTATGAGTTAATTATATCATAATTATAATCATAACAAAATTTAATTAATTCAAAATTTTAATTTAATATAGAACTTTCAAAAAAAATTCCACACTCAGCATTTATTCTATTAGGTGTTGGAATTAATTCGTAGCGTTTTACAAGTGATGGGAAGTACTTTCATTAATGTATTTTTTAATGCTCATGTGAAATAAATAACATTCTTTCATTAAAAAACGCTACGAATTAATTCCAACACCTAATACTTTTAAGAAAGAAGTCAAATAAAAGCAAAATTCTTAAAGATAAATATTATTATAGACTATTATATGTGAAGATTTGAACAGCTCGAATACTATTTACTTTAAAGTCACAAAAAATGAATTTTGCTATTTTTAACCGGAAACACAATTATGTAATATAATATCCTATATCGATTAATCAATTAGAGAATATTTATTTTATTTTTATATCTCTATGTTTTTTATCTCTAAATATCAATTCTTTATTCTTTATTAAGAATGCCATTTTACTTTTCAAAGCACATTGACTGCGTTCAGCAGAAAAAACAGCTTTGCAATTGTTGTAAAATTCTTTAATATGATTGATCTTTGCCCTTAGTTCCTCATTAAATTAAAATGTATAAATTAATCATACTATAAAATCTTACAACAGTAGCAAAGTTGCTTTTCTGTTTAACGTAGTCATTGTTTGATATAACATATTCTGCTTTCGATTCTCGTAGCTTCTCAATCAAGCACGGTAAGCAGCGCGCCTTCCGTCGGCCGACGTACCGAAGAACCATCAGCATCTAGAGTGCCGTTTCATCGACAAGGTAGTCAGTCGCAGGCTCCGAGTGAAGACACCGAAGACACAATGAAGAATCTGCGAAAGACTTTTGCCGGTATATTTGGCGACATGTAGACCACAAGATATGGCCGACGCAGCGAGAGTGTAGACGTCGGGCACTCTCGCGATGAGGTAGCTAACGATAATAGGTCGGCAACAATAACACGAACTCATGAAATTCTCCGGCGATCCCTAAGCATGTTCCACGAATGAAGCGGCATTACACTCGACGCGCCGATCGTGCGAAAGTTGACGCGGAGCATGTAAATATCTATATATTTGCAGATTGTCGTAGGAAATTCGCGAAACTGCATGCCACGCGAAGTGCACTAATCATTTAAATTTAATCGAAAGTTATCGGAAAATAAAAGCATTTCGCCTATTAATTAAAGCGCTAAAAGTACAAGTAGATCGAATCACATGGTTTAAGATCGAAAAAGCAATTTTCTGGTTATTTGCTTTAAATTTCCTTGAAACTTTGACTTGAATTTGATTTACTTGCACTTTTAGTGCTTTAATTAATAAACGCCAATCAAACCAAGCAAGGAACAAGTTGATAATGATTATTACGTGTTTTAGGGAATAAAATTAAAAGATATATAAAGATTTTCCCTTTCAACAATTTAATAAGCTAACGCGCTGTAGTGAGATAGGTTCTGTATAGCAAAAAAAAAATCATGATCATGTCTAGATGACGATTAGAAAGTATAAAGTAGGTTCTATATAATCCATATACACTGACGAATTTAAAGCTAGTCAAGTTCAATCGAAGAAAATGACACCTCATTTAATATCAGTTTAATGTCAGTCGAATTACTACCGCGATATCTAGCAAAACTGTTTACATCAACAATAAGCGCGCTTACTCACTATAAAAGCAGGAATCGCTCCGTAGGCCCCTGGCATCTCCTCAACCGGTTTTACTTCGAGCACCCACTTTTAGGCTTAACGTTCGGATCGTCGTGTGTCATATTGTCATTAAGGGAAAAGGCATTGCGAGATAGAAATTAAGGCAGGTAATGGGCGTCTTTTGGGCGATCTCGCAGTGTTTGTAAAAATATTCGTACGCCTATGTCATTCGAGATAATCGAAGACGATAAAAAAAGAGGAGATTCGGGCATTATTCTGAACATTTTGGCTAACCGAGACTGCAAGCGGTCGTTTGGTTTCATCGAGGATTACAAATTGAAAGAATGTATATGTAGTTGTCTCTATTATTAAGCGCACAAGTAATTCTTAAGATATCCTGGGATGGGCGAAGGTTTTCGTTATCGCGAAACGTCAAGTTTTTTTCCAGATCAAATCTAGATCCGCGAAATCTCAATTCGAATATCAATGAATCAATTCGCGGCACGTTAATAAATTTTCCAACGAGAATATTTCGCGTATAGATTTCCTGATGACGATGAAAATTTGTCGCGCATCCCGAGAGTGGCGACAATTTCTTTTCTTAAATTTTCGCACGTCGAAGGATTGTGTCGTTAAAGCTGCACAGGGCGACCACGCCGTCGGTGGAAAATTCATGAAAATTTGGTCGCTGGGTTTTAGCATTAAGAAATCATATAGATCTTGGCGCGAGGAATAAAAATGAATGGTCAAATCAATCGAAAATCCGGCATGCGAATCGTACCACGCGGGATGGAAATAATCCAGCGATACATAGATCTGCAAATATATACATATGTGCTAACAGGCTGAATGTAGTACCGGTGAGATATGTTTAACGTAGCTAAAACTACGTGGAGCACAGTATGAAGGAGAGACAGTTTTCATCGAATAATCGCAGATTTAACTTAATAAAATAAGACTAAAGAAAAGATCAGGAGACAAACGACCGTGGTTTCAGCTCTGAAGACAGGACGGATCAATATTACGTAATCATTATTGCGAATTTAAATTCTGCTGATTAAAGCAGTTACCAAATGTGATAAAGCATTTGAGAAATATCAATTAATATATAATCAGTTGATAGAGATAAAAAGGAAGACTTAAATGACTGACGAGGAGAGCGATTTATTTGAAAGTATAATTTTATTTGAAGCGCTGACGATATAGCTCGATCAAATAAAATGATATGTAAAATTAATTTAAAATTATTATGTCACAATAAAAAAGTAAATATGCGCGATTAATGAGAAATAACGGCGACCGTATAATATATACGTGATCTATTCGCAATACAGAAAACTATAAAAATGTTTAAGATCTCTAAGCAAATCTCTGTTTTAATTTTTGAAATTAGATGAATTTTTTGTCTAGTCTTTGGGAAGCTAAGACCTAATTTTAATAGCGTCGTCAATTCTTTTTACATAATATTTTCAGCGCTTCATTTAGAAATCTTTATCTCTATGTAACAGAAATCTGTCATTATACGATTTCATCGTGTCTTTTTCGCGGTTTTCTGACTGCATAAGTAATAAATAACTGACAGTTTGATTTTCATGTGCCTTGACACTGAAGTGTCCTTCGTATCACGTTTTTCGCGATATCAGGAGACGATTGAAAAATGTAGTAAATAAAAATAATTTTCGGAAGACGTAAGTTATGACGACGCTGGTAAATTTCTGCGATGAACGAAATGAAGTAAGTATTTTGAGCAGACATTGCACTTTACCATGTGATACTTTTGATCGTTTGTACTTTTTATAAAGCTCGATCTCATTACAATGTATATTCGCTGAGACACGCTGTTTCTTCACTGACGATCACCGCGGCGGAGAAATGTGCGCACCGTCCAAGCTTTCATTCGTTATATGAACGCAGTATCAAGATAAAAGAATAAGTTATGTACAAAAGTAAGTTTTTGTATATATCATAATTTCCGTCGAAATAATCGCGACTCTAACGATTTTCAATTCTGCATAATAAAAAGTCGCTTTCTATTGGACACAAGTCAACACAAATATTATTGTCTTTGTTACTTGTGGAATATCAAGAAAGATAAAATGATGTTTGTATCAATTTGCGTCATTAAGGGACTAATTCTACCAACTCTTAATGACAGTCGTTGATGTCATTGCGCAGATATTAGTAAAATAAAAAACTGCGCAATGACATCAACTATTTTATTGTCATTAAGAGGTACAGAATCGGCCCCTAAATAAAAGCGCCCAATGATAGATTGTCTTCCATGCAAAATGAATATTTTCAATTGTGGATCTTGTGCAAGTGAAACAGATGTCTTAGCCCCTAATGTTCTTCTTTCAAAGTTTTTGACATAGTTATATTTCTGTAAACATAATTGCGTCCTTAAAAATATCTAAATATAATTCGTACATTAGAAGTCTCTTTTTTATCATTTTTCTTGCACTAGAAAAATTATTTCGTGCTAGCGAGTCTCGTGATTAGGAAAAAAAATTGCGCAATTAAGGGTTAAACAAGAACGCAAAGATTTGCATGAAAGGTTTAACGGTTTGACATACACGAAACAGATCTCGAATTCCATTTTCAGAGCTGACGCCACGGTACGAAGAAGAGCAATCAAACAATCATAATCACGTCACTGCGCGGAGATCAATCGATCAGCGCTAGATGCGTAGACGCGGTTACAGGTTGAAGAATATCTCAGGGGTGCGAGTCTAGGCATTAGATAAAGTAGGAATTAGAAACAGCAACGCGTGATTATGCAGGCTAGTCAAATCACTGACGCCGATTGCAGTCGGCAGAATGGATAGAGTTAGGGTTCGCTTGTGCAGAGAAATCCTTGTACTGTGATCTTCGGGATTGTCTATAGGAAGGAAAATTTTGCGTCCGTATCTTGTTCGACTGATCGCTTTTCTTAATAAATTTTTATATGTGTAAGTTTCTTCCTTTTTTTTTTGAATGGTTTTTCGATTTTTGAAAATCTTGTTTCGGAACATTGCAAATTCTTGAAAAAAAAAAAAAATTTTTAGACTTGTCGGATATTATACCACTATTTGAACATCAAGTCTTGTGCAAAGAAAACATGATAATTATGTGATAAACTTGACTAAAAGTGGAAATATATTATTCGATCAGTAGCGTTTGTTAATATTGACAGCTCAATTATTACGAAATATTTTAGTAACGAATGTTTTAGTAACTCAATTATATTAAATTAATTTAAAGTAAATTTTCTCGTTTGCAACATATCATTCGATATCTCACTTAAATATAAACGAAGCTGGAAGTTCAGTCCACAGCTGTCGCAAAACGATCGTTTGACAATTGCAATGTTAAGCTTGTTAAATAGCGATACAGCATCGGGCATTTCGTTATTTGGCCATAACTTATAGAAACGTTATACAGTGGCACGTTTAGTTACGGTGACCGTGTGGTGTCGTGAGCAGCAGTATATTCATTTTCGTTTCAAATGCACTGATTGCACTGTAGTTCGAGTAATAACGCACCAACAATATTCATAGGTTAGCACGATAATCATATCGCATTTTCAATTCTCAAAAATATTTCTCGTGTTGCTGTGTACTACGTCACGAATAATGAAAATATCGCATAAAAATACCATTTCACTTCATGCAAGCGTAAAATCGGTCTCATCCACGCGCCATAATACAATATATATGTGTGTGTGTGTGTGTATATATATATATATATATATATATATATATATATATAGCATGCGTACTTCATATTAAATCGCCTTAAAGATAATTCACCATAATTTTATTTCTAATCTTCCAGAGATGACATTTAGTTATGCGAATTTCTGATGTCATTTCTGCAGGATCGCAAGTCCTAAAATTCTCTAATATTACGATTATATCAGGACTTGGCACATAATGCGAGATCCTTCGTACGACATGTGAGATTTATAAAAATACGTTTACGAATAGTAATACTGTAAGGCGATGTTAGGCTAATTACGTATTCCTTAAACGAGGACGATACAATAATAAATGATTAGTGATCTCTATAATATCGATCATTATGATATAACAAGTTTATTGTAAACGATTGATGTGAATATAACGCAGACAGAACAATTTGCGGTTTAGCTCCGCAAATCGTTTACAACTGCAAGTTTTCCTTCTTTAATCAAAGAGGAAATTGTTATTCAAAAAGAGATTGCTTAATAATTATAAGTCTCTTTATATTCTCGACGATTATCCTTCAATTATCGCGAGAGAATAGTGCAATAGCACGGGAAGGAAAATAGTTATAATAGAAAATAGTAGTAGATATTTTTAGTGCTAAAGAAAAATTGACGAATAATAATTCATATTGATAAGACGATGTTAGGATAATTATGTAACGCTAAGCGAAGACGATTACGATACAATAATAAATGATTAGTGATCTATATAATATCGATCATTGTGAATATAACAAGTTTATTGTAAACGATTGATGTGAATATAACGCAGACAGTGAACAATTTGTGGATAGTTTAGCTCCGCAAATCGTTCAATTGCAAGTTTTCCTTCTTTAATCAAAGAGGAAAAATTATTATTCTACGCAAAATAAGAATAAGTCTTCTAATATTCTCGACGATTATTCTTCGATTATCGCGAGAGAATAGTGCAATAGCACGGGGAGAAAAATAGTTATAAATAGTTATAATGGAAAATAATAGATATTTTTAGTGCTAAAGAAAAATTGACGAATAATAATTCATACTGTCCCTTGGGAAAATTTACTGTAAAAAAGGTTAAAGTTTTTGAAAGTAACCTTTCAAATGAAAGAGTTAATTTAAAAAGTTTTAAAATAATCTAAAGTAATTTAAGAAATTTTAAAGTATTTCAAAACTAATTTTAAAAGAATCTTAGATAAATCGAAAGTTTTAAAAACTGACTTTAAAATTGTTTTCAGGTACTCTAAAGAATGGAAAAAAAAACTTTAAAATAATCTCAATAAATCTTAGGTAATCCTAAGGTAACATTAAAAAGTTTAAAGTTTTTCTATAATTTTTTATTTTAAATATAAATAAAA